CTTATGTTGGTTACTCTATTGACACCACTACATTTCTTATGTTGATTACTCTATTGACACCACTACATCTCTTACATTGGTTACTCTACTGACACTACATTTCTTATGTTGATTACTCTATTGACACCACTACATTTCTTATGTTGATTACTCTATTGACACCACTACTTTTCTTACATTGGTTACTCTACTGACACTATATTTCTTATGTTGATTACTTTATTGACAATTACTCTATTCCTACATAGGTTACTCTATTGATGCTATGTTTATTAAAAGGTTACTCTACTGAAACTACATTTCTTATGTTAGTTACTCTACTGACATTGTTTCTTACATAAGTAACTCTACTAACACTATACTTCTTACACTGGTTACTCTGCATTTGTAGGTTACTCTACTGAAACTACATTTCTTATATTGGTTAATCTACTGAAGTTTACATTTTCCTGTACCGAAAATGTGTTTCTGATAATACTTACCTCTCCTCAACTTTAGCTGACAAAAGTTTTTTATCTCTGCCCATCTAAGCATGGTATGAATTATACCTCACCTGCTCCAATCCTTATACCCCGCTATATCACCCCTAGTAATTTTAATCTTGTGACTCTATCCACCTACATCCATGCAACCTCTATACCACATCTGTATATAAGCTCCCTGTTATCATATCTTATTCACGTTTTCAATACTGGAAAAATTATCAGACCTGAACACAGGCCATTGTGGGGAGAATGGGCAGGAAGTAAGTATTATCTGAAATACATTTTCCATATAGGAAAATGTAATCTTCCGAAACACACCTCTTCACACACTTTACCTAGAATCCCACACTGACAACGTAGAGGGGCCAGCGAGGGCAAAATCCACACAGATAGCATCCACATAAAAACATATGCAAATTGAGCTAGCACACTAGTGGGGCCTGCACTACTTCTGGAACAGGTATGCTCTTTGCCCAGATAATGCAAAATTTAAAACTTGGGTGGTAAAGTACAACCGACTAGTCTTGTAACATTGTAAGAAGAAACACATAAAGAGAGACATCTATTCCAAAACTGGTTACTTCTGCAATACCAGACACATCTAGTCTGGAAATATTATACATGCTCACAAGAGTTGTCCAGGCACCAACCATGTAGACGAGGTCCCACATCTCATTGTTGGAATTATACGGCTGTGGACAGAAAGCTAGATCCAAGGTAAGTGACTATGGCATGGGGACTGCAGTGTCATATAATTGTATTATAGTAACATGATATTAACCTGAAGTAGAACATAATGCAAAAAAAAAAGGGAATTACAGGCTCAGGAACCCACTCCAGCAACTAGAAACTGGGAGTGGTAAGGACTACCATGCTCCACTATGGAGAAATGGGGGAACCACATTCCCTATTGTGAAAAGCAAACCAACCTCGATTTATTCAATCCAGGGGTCAGCAGTAATGGGCAAAATCCCTTTATACTTTACTCATGATAGTCCATGAATGGCAGTCCAGTAGTGTATGTTATCTATGGTACTGAATACCACCCAGAAAGCACCAAGGTGGTCTTATAGAACACCCCATCTCAACAGAGCTCATTTCTACTAGAAATTTCATGTATTAGTATACTGGTAGCCACTGCGGATTTGGGCAAAAACATACCTGACCAGGCAACACTTGCCAATGCAAATCATAATTATGAGATGGTCTCTGAAAAGGAATAGAAAAAAACAGAAGAAACGAATTGAGCTGGGGAGTGTAGAATAGTCACGGGGGTAGCCAAAACCCATCCAAGAAGGAAACTGCTAAATCATGTAAATATTGTGATATAAAGATGTTAAGTGTGGTTCACATATCAGCCTGTACAATTTCCTCCAGTGAACAATGCAACTGAACAACAAGGGACATTGAGATACGTCTAACTTGATGAGATGAGACCTGAAGAAGTATCTGCTCCTCCAATGAAAGTCCAGGGTAAGCCATACAAACCAATAGATGAATTCAACTTGTCAAAGCATGACACAGGAGAATCCCATTGGATAAACAAATGTTGATGTGAGCCCTGATATGCTTCGGTACATACCACATAATATCAAAGAGCCCAAACCGAGCATAAAAGACTATCCAGATTTGACCAGTCATATAAATGTGAAATGTAGCTTTATCTCCTTCTCTAACTTCTGAAGTTTTCACCAGAAAAGACCAGTCTGGATACAACAATACATAAGTGTAATGGTAGAATCCTGTGAACAGGAAGAAACACATCATAATGTCTACACCTGCTAGCCAATAACAGAAGAAAACAACTATTAAGTGCAAGATTATACACTGAACATGACATCAAAGGTTCTAAAGGTGGAAGAGACAAGGCATGGAGAATCCTGTGATATCCTAATTAGGAATCTGGAAAGGACTATGAGAAAAAATTTCAGAAGTAATGACAAAACTGGGAACTCAAACACTTTTCTTCTCTTAGAAAAATTAAAGGTAGCAAATAAATCAGTTTTATACAGGGTAATAACCATAAGAGACATGTAGCACAGTGGGACAAGAAGGGTTAAACCCATGTCTGACAGACCATTGACAATAAGTAAACCATTTCCATTGAAAAACTTCCAAAGAAGAATGACAAATGGACCGTGTTAATAAGAAAACCACTCAAGAAGTCAGTTCCTGATGTTGTGAGATGGACCTCATAAAAACCAGGCATTAAGTCAAAGAAAGTCAACTGCTAGATGAAAAATGTCCGACCAAGGCTGACGTAAGAGAGATGGCCAGAGAGAAAGAGGTTAACTCTCCTGAAGGTACTGGAGGAGTGGAAACCAAAGCTGACCCAGCCAATGTGGTGTCACCTGAAGAACTCAACAAGATGTGGAGTGAACCAGTGCAAGAACCTTGTGCCTGACCTAGTCCGGAATTGAAAAACACCCCTAACTCGATGAGGTACTGTGTGGGAGTAAGAACAGACTTCTCCTTTCTGATAAGAAACCCAGCTCTTGGAGCTTCTGATAACAGAGTTTAAATGTGAAATTGAAACATGACCCTATAAGGTCACTGATGCCATAGTCTGCACTACATTCTAGAGGTGGACAGCCACTGGTAAGATTAGAATTGCCCTTGTGTTCCGATGTATCATGGCACAGAAGCCAGAGGTCTGAAAACTCAAGCAGGAGATGTAGGAAACCTTCTTGTGGAAGACCTTTGAGACAGCTTAGAAGCTAAGGTAGAAAGGGAAGAGTGTATATGGGCCATGTCCACTAGAGATTTCATACAATCAGGAATACCAGCAAAATTAGACTGTCTGAGAAAAGTAGCTTTTCTGAGACCTCTAAGGACCAAAGCAGGAAGACAAACTCCCTCCAACAAGGCATCTCTCTCCAAAAGATCCCAACAATAAACCAATGAAGATACTAAGGAGAGAGCAGAAGCTGATAATTTGACCAAAGTAGAAGTAAATGAATGATTAAGATCATCCAAAAATTGCACAGAAGATCTGTGATAAGCCTCAGACAACAGTTGCAAGATGATAAAAAAACAGAAAACTGTTATAAGTGACAGACAAATTTTGAAAACTGAGATTTATTAAGGTGAACCATGGCATCTTGTCTAGAGCCCCAAATAATAATAGAAGGATCTAACCCCTGAG